AAGTGCTCTTAAAAAGGCACCCCGAATCAGGTGTCTTTTCCGAATGACGGCTCCAAACACTTCGGAGAGAGAGAGAGAGAGAGTTAGAGCACACCCCTTCCCAGCGCCTGTGAGCTGCAACAGAATTGCCGCTTTTCCTGGGGCCAATACCTTGGGACCGAGTATCAAAGGTGCCTGGTGTTCCAATTCCATGATTCAAAGAGAAGGCACCAAGAACTATGTCCAACCAGGTGCATGTTACCTTCACTGTTTTGCACACGTTGACCTCAAGAGGGATCGGATCTGTGTCCGCGGCATTCTTTGAATCTCGTTGAAGAGATTCATGATGGCACCTGTCGACCCCAGGCGACGGGCGCCACGGATCCAGGTCAGACCGGTGTGCCAAAGCGACCTTCTGCAGCACCAAGCTTCACTGGGAACATGGAATAGCAGCGTCAACATCGCAGGTGTCCACATAACACCAAAACAAAGCCCTGAAAATGGATCTGGGAAAGTATAGGTATAGACGGCATAGATCTATACATGTTGCCTTTTGCCTTTTATGAAGCTATGAGCCTTTAGCATCAAAAAGGTGGTGCACATAGTCATAGGTGTATACACATTATGTGCCATTGCAATGACGAGTGTCAAATCAAACACATTTGCTATGATTGTCCTATATAGATTTGCCAGGCTATATACTACCTAATCTACCTATACTATACTATACTATCTTATACTATCCTATACTGATACTGATGCTTTGCTTTTGTTACTCCGGGCGGCGCCTTGCCCATGAGCAGCAACCTGAGGCTGATGTTGGTTGGAATAACGACGCAGCAGCAGGAATTATTGACATGTAAATCAATGGCGCAAGTAGCCTCCAGCAAAAAAGTGATGATCGTTTACAGCTGTTGGTTACTAATTATGGTGCTGCAAAAAATAGGATCTCTAATTCAACATTGTCAAGAGAAAAAATTTTTAAAATATACGTTACCCTTCATCCAAGAGGGCCCGTATGATCTAGTAGCTGACGCATCCCTCATGCAACACGGACCGGCGGATACCGGCGGACCAGCGGGCCCTGCAATTAAGGGGATGAGCTAGGGTGCGAGGGGAACCAAACAAGTGATTGGCAGATTGTTCTCCCCTTCTCCATCCTTTTCCTGTGTAGGTCACTGGGGCTTAGGTTGAAACACACCAACCTCCTTCATTTGCCACACAACGGTCGCTTGGAGGCGCACGCCCGCATCGCCCTGCTGGCGATCCATGGGGCTGTCACACAGTGCAAATCAAGCACCAATAGAGCCCTTACCTGTGGATGATCGTAATGGCTATGACCTCCGGGTTTTAATCGGGTCCGGCACATGTGCCCCCGCCCCCGAAAGAAGAAAAAACCTCTCGGGTCACCCGGCCAGTGCCAGGCCGGCAGCAAACTCCTCACCTAGGTGAAGCACAAGTGGGTGCAAAAAAGCAGGTCACCAGCTCAGACTTCCGGAACCCGAAGGAACTCTAGAGATCTCTCATCCGAGTCTAGAGCGAGAGAACCCTAAACCTCCTGAGAAAGTGTTCTGGAGGTTTAGGGGGAAGGCAATATAAGGCAATCATCTGAAAAAATGTGGAAAACCCAGTGCGACTCATAGATTCCATTACATCTCCATGACCAGGGACTCTCTGTAGCTAAGGAGGCTCCTCCCCCAAGCAAGCATCCGCATCCCATCCGTGGCTGGCTTTGACACAGGTTGAACCGTGACGATCAATACATGCATACAGCTTGTCCATCTCCATCTCTTCAACACCAAGGCTCAAGTAACTTTCGGGTCTAGGAGCCTAGGGTCTATATATGATCACTTTCATCAGTTCCTCTCATGTCATTCCATCCCCTCCACCAATTTTCCGGGTCTTTTCACGTCCAGGATGCGGTCCAACGCGCCATCGGAGTTGGCATCAGCAGCCCAGAGCTGTTGGTCAATGCTGGACTTTAAGGACCTGGCAGCTATGGCGGTCGTTTCGCACTCGGGATGGTTTGTTGTTGGGAAACGACAGGAGGCCAAGAACCTCTGGTTGGTGACATGTTCTGACCGGGCAACGGAAGGGGATGCTCCTTTTGCTCAAGATTGAGTCCGCCAGTGGGTGTCCACAATCTCTTGTGGCACGGCGTCGATCAATGAAGAAACACAGCCCTCCACCTATTTAAAAAACATGGCCTCCCCCTTTTAACAAAAACTCGGGCGATATTGTTTAAAATGTTTAAATAGGGGGTCCCTGAAATCGGGGTCGTCCAAAATAGGGTCAGTGGGAGGATCCTTGAATCATTGATTACCCAAAAAAGACACCCAGGAAAACTTTATATAAATCCTTTATTCAACTCGTATCAAAAATTGAAAAATAAAACTCCAGATCGAAGGGTCTTCCCTTTACAAAAGCAACTACAGCTTTCGAAAGGTGAGTCCGTGCCATTGGGGTAAGGAAAACCTGCTGGTGTAAACGCGGCGTGTCATGGTGGATAGACACGGTGGACAGGTGGGCAGCTAGGGTTGTTTTTGGAACCTCAAAAATTTAGTTGGTAGTTTAGTAGCGGATTTAGAGGGCGGTAATTTAAACACACATATACAGTATAATATATATAAACGGTATTTAGGGGGGTTTCCGACATGGGGCTTTTAATCAAAAAGGGGAGTGGTTTTTAATTAGGCACTGGGGATTACAGTATGTGATGTTCTTTGCTTCTGTGTTTTTCTGCACTTCGACCGGCGATCACCGTTGGAGCCGAAGCACCCATGACGCTGAAGAAAGCCCATCTCGATCTTGGTGACCTTGTGGTCCTCAGCGTTCCAACACCCCATTCCCACGGTCCGAAGACTGAAAGCGGGACCTCTCTGCAAGAGGATTGCCTCCAAGAAGAGTTCCCATATAGTTCAAAGGTGAGGTGAGCAATTCCCATAAGCAGGTTTCACTGACACGGCGCTCACTTTTTGTGCGCACGTCGATCGCATCGGCCGCGGAAAACGCGGTCCAATCTTCGGCATGTGACCAGGGGCCCTCATGGGGCCCTTGGGGAGGCCCGCGAATCACATGTTGGATGATGTCGGTGGACACAGGGAGAAGCTTAAGTGACCACCTCCCGAATGAGAAGAACCTTAAGTGTTCTGGATGCCATTGACCAAAGTGAGAGTGCTCGAAGCTCAAGCCTTGTGATGCCCCGTGGGTGCAAGGAAACATGGAAATGTTTGGAGGTCTTTGGTTGTCGTTGCCCATGCTGGCAACCAATCTTGAAGGCAACCAGGTGGGGGTTGGGAATGATGAGCCCATGTGCCTTGTACCAAGTAGTTGTCTGCAATTCAGTTTTTATCATGCAGCTGGTTGGGACCGCGGGTCAGCACCCAGTTTTGACCATGGTCACATGCCTCCGCTTCCTTTAATTGTCAAGCCTGGGGGTCTTGTGCCCACAAAGAACGCATTGGTCCTTTCTCAGGTGCAAGCGCGGGGAACCAAAGACATGGACATACCTCGGCGTGCTGGGCAGCTGGACGGGTATGGGCAAGACTCCCTACAGTATGACTTCGATAATCTTGGATTTGTTAAAGGAACCGGAAAAATAAGGACTAAAAAGGGGAGCCCCTAGTAGCGTCCTTGTTGCCAGTAGTAAGGCCAGGAGCCC